CTGGAAGACTTTATTTATAAGCGTGCAAGCCTGTTGTGGGAGATATCCATGAACATTTAAACAACGTATGCGACTTTCAGAACCGGGAAGAAAGAGATTTTATTGAAAATAAAGCTTTGAAATGGCAGGCACTCCAAAAAAGATGGCGAAAACTCTGAGAGGAAGGGAAGTGGACGTAATTGCACTTTTTGCGTGTTGTGGGAGATTTCCATGAGCTTTTAAACAGCGAATGCGATTTGCAGAGCCAGGAAGAAAGAGATTTTATTGAAAATAAAACGTTGAAATGGCAGGCACTCTAAAAAAGATGGCAAAAATGAGAAGAAGGGAAGTTGACATCACTGCACTAGTAGCAGAAGCCATTAAGCCGATTCTGGAGCAACTTGTTGGTATTAACCAACAGCTTGCCAAGATAAATCAACAAGTTGTGTCCCGGCTGCTCCAGGAGGCGATAGTAGAAAAAAAATGGAATTGAGGGCTTTCGAAGTGAATGAGATGGACACTAAATTAAGCAGCGATCTCAATGAGAAAAGGAGAAAAAGCACAAGAGAAACAGGAAAGATTTACAAGGATTTAACTCCTTCCTTGCAAGTGTTCTTAGAAAGTGTCATCTTAAATCCTGCTGAGAAAAAAGAGCTGGAGTTTCCCTTCACAATCAAGAAACCTTTGAGATGCCACTGGGCCCCGAGGGCGAGACCAGAGAGGAAGAGGCTTAAGACTGGCGGTTTTATCCCTTTGGACGGAGGAGACTGGGCTTTAGAATTTGGAGTGAACGTCTAAGAAGCTATTAAGATTTTAGAGAGTTTTAGTATACATGTAAAGGCGGAAGGACTCTGGAAATTGCCTTTATGAAGCGAGTTGGAGGAGATGCTCGGGAAATCTTCTCATAACAAGTAACAAACTAACATATAAGTTTAGAAAGACAGGTCCTCACAAAGTATATTGTTCATTAACAGCCTTTTTTTTTTTTAACTAACAGTAGTTTAACAGGGAATGATCTCTTAACCTTGGGTTTTTAGTTTAGTGTGGGTTGCCTTTCCTTTCTCCCTAATTGTAGTTCCCCTATCCCTATTTTTTGTTGGTAGTTTTTGTAGTATATATAAAAAAAATAAAAAATCCCCTCCAGGGGCTTATAAAAAAAAATACCCCTGTGTGCCTGCCGTTTATCCTCCTCTAAGCAATTAGCCTCCTGGCTATCAACAAATCCTGATCTTATCCCGTGTTTCTTTTATGAAGCATCTTCTTGTTTTGCCAGCTCTAGGAAGGGTTAATGATTATTTTGCAGTGTCCTACATAACAAGCAGGCTGTCAATCACCTCACAAGCTGGTTGCAAAGTTAGAGGCAAAATGTAGCAATTTGGTTGGAAACACTTGTTCTTTGCTTTGGATAGTAAGACTACCCTGTTGATTGGCTAAACATTTTTTTGCCTTCCACATGCATACTTTCACTTCAGACTGTGTGGTGAATTCCCTGATGGGATTTTTTTTTTGCTTGTTTGATCAGTGAGATAAACTCGCTGTAGAATCATCCAAATGTAGGTAAAGATGCATGCTGCAAATCAAGTGAGGCCTAACAGTTGCTAGGGCATTGATTGATTAAAATGAATAACATTTGGGCTGGCTATTTGGATATTCACACACTTCCTAGTGTTAATCCTGGTGTTTAGGGTCAAAGAAGATAAAATGCTAGATCGCTGTTCACATCCTCTCAGTGTGTTCTGGTTTGAAAACTTGATCAGTGCTTCTCCCCCCCCCAAAAAAACAAAAAGCTATGTAAAATTATTTCCAGTGTTCAGTAAGCAGTTTGATATCTTTATGAATTCAGTTCATACAGTGACTGAACGGACCGGGAGTCCCTTCCCTGCTGGTCCATTTTCCTCTGGTAATTTATGTAGAAAGGAGACGTATGGGTCAGCTGATCAACACTATTCTTTCTCCTGGTAGCATCTCTCCTCTGGCTAAACTTCTGTGGTCTTTCATTCTCTTTAATTCTCTTTAATTCTCGCAGCTCTCTTCTTCTGCCACCACAGATGCAGAATGCTCCTGGTGTACACCATGATGGGAGAAGGCAGCCAGCAGGGCTGTGATGTTGCCAGAGTACCCTAGTGGTCTGGAAATTAAGCTGTGCCCACTGTGCTGGAATAAGAGCCCTATGAGCCACCAGCCAGAGCAGATAAGATTCTAGTTAGAGGAAGCCACAGGAGTCAAAGCTGACATTTGGGACTTGTGGAAGGATCAGTCCCTGAATGAAGGTCCTGAACAGCTTCCTGCCAAACCACAGACCACCACCCCCCCAGCCAGAACTGCAATTACAGCACAGCAACCTGCAGAGGGTGTTCTGTAGGCTAGGATCGCCTAGCACTCAGCTCAGTCCTCAGTTTGGTGTAGTGGTTAGGAGTGCAGACTCTAATCAAGATTCTACTTAGAGGAAGCCACAGGAGTCAAAGCTGACATTTGGGACTTGTGGAAGGATCAGTCCCTGAATGAAGGTCCTGACCAGCTTCCTCCCAAACCACAGACCACCACCCCCAGCCAGAACTGCAATTACAGCCTTCCAGGGCCACTGCACAGCAACCTGCAGAGGGTGTTCTGTAGGCTAGGATCGCCTAGCACTCAGCTCAGTCCTCAGTTTGGTGTAGTGGTTAGGAGTGCAGACTCTAATCTGGGAGGACTGGGTTTGATTCTCCACTCCTCCACATGCAGCTGCTGGTGTGACCTTGAGTCAGTTACAAGTTCTTTCAGAGCTGTTCTCTCATGAGCAGTTCTCGAAAGAACTCTCTCAGCCCCACCTACCTCACAGCGTGGGGAGGGGAAGGGAAACGAGATCGTAAACTGCTCTGAGACTCCATCCGGTAGTGAAGGGCAGGGTATAAATCCAATCTCTTCTTCACGCTAACATTCCAAAAAACTTAGATTGGTAATGAGTAATACGGACAAGGCCATTGATAAATAGCTGCTGTGTGTATGCCACCTTAAAGTGACACATGGATCCAGATGTTCCATTTGAGGCCCCATCATCCCATAGTGCTATTCATTCTTTCACTTCTTATGTAGCATTTTTGATAGGGCATGTACTCTTTAGAAATATATGTTTCATCATGGAGTGGCCTAGTATACAGTAGTGGTGGTGAGCTAGAAGATTCACACTTTGGCCATGAACTTGTGGTGTGGTGTTAGACGAACTGCTGACTCTTCATGTGTGCAACATGAAAGGAATAATACTTTAAGGTTGTTTTGGGGATTACTGAAGTTAAATATTTGAGCATTTTGGAAAAATTATTTATTTATTGTAGATATTTATACTCCACTCTTAAGACAACAAAAGAGAAGCCATGTTGGATCAGGCCAATGGCCCATCTAGTCCAACACTCTGTGTCACACAGTGGCCAAAACCGAGGTGTCATCAGGAGGTCCACCAACAGGGCCAGAACTCCAGAAGCCCTCCCACTGTTGTCCCCCCAAGCATGAATAATACAGAACATCACTGCCCCAGAAATAGTGTTCCCTCTATACCTTGTGGCTAAAAGTCATTGATGGACCTCTGCTCATATGTTTATCCAATCCCCTCTTGAAGCTGTCTATGCTTGGAGCTGCCACCACTTCCTGCGGCAGTGAATTCCACATGTTAATTATTTTTGGGGTGAAGAAGTACTTCCTTTTATCTGTTCTAAACCTACTGCTCATTAATTTCATTGCATGCCCATAAGTTCTTATATTGTGAGAAAGGGAAAGAAAAGTACTTTTTCTCTACCTTCTCTGTCTCATGCATAATTTTACAAACCTCTGTTACCCTTCCATCATCATTTCTTTCTTTTCTTTTTTTAAAACCCCAGAGGGATATTTTTTATTTTGCAAATACTACAAAAACTACAAAGAAATATTAGGGGACTACAACTAAGGATAAACGAAAGCAAACCACACTAAACTAAAACCCCAAGAGGAGGAGATCTTTTCACTGTTAGTAAAAATGTTAGTACTATAAGTGTTAATATCACAATATACTTGTAGAGTTCTTGGTTATAACAATTCACTATTTATATGTTATTTTATTAGTTGTTACGAGAGAAATCTCTGATCATCTTGTTCTTCGCTTCAAAAGGCCATTTTCCAAGTCCTTCTGTCTTTACTTCGACTTTCTGTCTCTAAAATCGTATACCACTCTGGCAGGTCCTGCACCCTTTTCTGCCGCAGAGTCCTCTTCCGTTCCAGAGGTAGCAGAGTCACTAGACTTCGTTTCTTCCTCTTTGGACTCTTCATCTGTCCCCAGCTAACGTCAAAAATTCTTTAGCTTTAAAAGTGGAGTCTATCTTCTCTCTTCTATCATTGATCTTAAAGATGAAACCCTCTGGAACCACCAGCTGATAAGAATTCAACTCCCTAATTAACCCTTCTGGCTTGTAAAAAGATTAGGGAAGTTTACAAGGACGATTCTCCCACATAACAAAATCTCACAGCTGAATATAATGAACATGCAAGGCTAGGTCCTACAACCTCTGTTCCTTACAAATGTCCTTTAAGGTTTTAATGGTTACATTTCCCATTTTCAGTGGAGTTGCTGATGTTGCTTTTAAAATGGCATCTCTGGTTTGTCTTCTTGAAAACCTGACCACTATTTCTCCAGGTAGGCTATTTTTTAAATGTAATTGGAGTATGCCCTATAGGCTGACTCCATTTCATTTTCAAGTTCATCCGCTGTTAATCCTACTACTGGAGCGATGATCTCACTAAGCACCCTCTTCAGGTCTTCCCAATCCGTTTCAGGAACTCCCTGAAACCTGAAAATCATGTTAGCTTTTTCCATCTGTAGCTGCAAAACTCGATTCTCTTGGCAATTCTGCTTCGTTTCCACATCTCCCATCCTTTCCTTCAAGTTCTTGCTTGTGGTGTCTATCTCTTTAATTTTCTCGTTTGCCTGCTCCACTTTTTTCTCTGTTTCGTTCAGCTGAAGCTGAAGCTGCTGTGCTGCAAAGTTTTTATTCATCACAATCAATTGCTGGTTAATACCATCGAGTTGTTCCATCACCAGCTTGAGCATATCTGCCAGGAGTTTGAGGACATCTGTTCCCTCTTCCGGTTTCAGACTCTGACGGCCCTGCTTCGTTTTAAACTTTCTCTGCTGGGCTGCCATCTTTCCCGTTTTGTTTACAGTTTCTGCCTCTTCCACGCAACTCGGAAAACTCACCTAACAACTTCGCAATTCAGATAAGTTTCTCAAAACACTTTTGGTTTACTTCCTCCCCTCTCCCCCTTTGTGTCCGTTAGCCGCTCATTCGCACAAGAGGCGTCCCTCTTTGCAATCTCTTTTTTCAACAGCGGGGGGGTCGTTTTTCAAACTACTCCGTTTTATTCAGAACTCACGTTCATTGTCGATCAGTTTCTCTGACTATACTCGGTTTTACGCCATTCTGCTCGATCTCTGGTGCTTGTCCCGGTCAGTCCAGCTTGTGCCTGAAGGCCACTCAGCAACTGGACCATTGGGGCGGAGGGGAGCCTCAATTCTCCGGCATTACGCCGTCGAAGAGGCTACCCTTCAAAAGCCCCCTGGCCTGGAACCTATTGCAAAGGCTCCGTGGGTGTGTCACTTGAGGTGGCACCCCTCCAGGCCGCTGGTGTGCGATTCGCCCTTCCTCTTTATGGGGAGAGCATCCGCCATCGCTGTTTCGTAGACCGGAAGCTCCATCATCATTTCTTTAAGCTAAGATCCCTAACCTCTTTAATCTTTCTTCATAGGGAAGTTGTTCCATCCCCTTAATCATTTTAGTTGCCCTTTTCTGCACTTTTTCCAATGCTATAATATCTTTTTTGAAGTGCGGTGACTATATTGTACACAATATTCCAAATGAGGCTGCACCATATATTTATACAGGGGCATTATGGTACTGACTGAATTGTTTTCAGTTCCCTTCCTAATAATTCCCAGCATAGCACTTGCGTTTTTTTAATTGCAGTTGCACACTGAGTTGACATTTTCAGGGAGTTACCCACCATTACTCCAAAATCTCTCTCCTGATCAGTTACCGCCAGTTCAGACCCCATCAACTTATATTTATGGTTAGGCTTATTGGATCCAATGTAATGTGCATTATTTTGCACTTGCCCACATTGAACCTCATTTGCCACGTTGACACCCACTCGCCCAGCCTCAACAGATCCCTCTGGAGCGCCTTACAGTCCTCCCTCTTTTCTCCAGTGGGGATCCAAAACTACTCTTCTTCATTCTCCTCTTCTCAGTTTTATCCTTACAACAACCCGGTGAGGTAGGAGAGCCTAAGGTCACCCATTGAGATTCCGCATGATAGGGTGGGGGTTCAAACCTGGGTCCCCCAGATCCTAGTTCAGCACTCAAGCTGTTACACAATGCTGTCCTTATAAACAGTAAAGGAGCAGGATCTGCAAAAAGAGGGAAGGATTTATCAGGCCCTGGATCATGCTCGTAAGTATTATGATTAGAACAAACTGGAAAAAAAATTGTATTGATCATGTGTTTGCTAAATGTGTGCAGTTTTTTAATCATAATATTTTTATTTCCAGTTCCAGAACATGAGATGACTCGCATTTGTGATGATTGAAGGCTGATTGGCTTGGGTTTTTGTACGTTGCTTTTGCCTGTTCTGAATTTTAACTGGCTGTGCTTTCTATTTTATGTGTTGTTGTGTGTTTTTTTTAAGTTTTTATTCTTGTACTTTGCTTTGGGTTCCATCTGATAGCAGAAAAGATGGCTTGCAAAGATTAAACTGACTAAATAAATAGAGGTGTGTTGCCTAAAACTGTGAGACACTTTCTAGCCATTGCTCGCTTTATACCCCAAACTATGTCTGCTTTACCATCTTCCCTTTTTGTTAGCATGAACAGGCTCAACTCCTTGCCACGAGGATTTGGCTCCTTACCAGCCCTGGAGGTTCTTGACCTGACTTACAATAACTTAAATGAGAATTCACTGCCTGGAAACTTCTTCTATTTAAGTAAGAAACTGATTTTAAGAAACACTTTAAATCATTTTGAAAAGTTGCTTTGCTTTCTGCAGGTGAAATTTATTTGGGAGAGTCTGAACTCTTAAAAATGATATTTTAGATATATGTTTTCTTCCTCCTATGAGCCTCCTTGAATATTTTTCAGCATAGCTCAGCAATATGTGTCTTTGATCTACAATCACCGGATATTGGTAGGAGTTAAGTGGACTTGGCTGGCAGTGTTGTATGAGCTGCTTACTGGGTTATATTTTCTTGCATTTTATTCCGTTTCATACTTAGTTAAAACTTCTGCAAGTACAGCACCCTCCTAGGTGAGTAAGGACAAACTTAAGACAGCTAACGATTAACTCCCAGTCTGCTTTTCTTGAATAAAACTCATTTGGTTAAAAAAAACATGAGGCTTGAATTAATGTGCATGACACATGATACATAAAGCGAAAATTTCTTCCAGCAAACACAGCTACTGTTTAATTTTGGGCATAGACTGACCGTCGCTCTCTCTGTGGTGTAGGATGGAAGTATGGGCTCCCCCCCCCTTCCTGTGTAACTAGAAATGACAGACTTGATCTAGGTTTGGAGATTCTGTCTACCTCTGAAGGACCTTCAGTATAATATCCTTCTTTCCCACTGGAATTCCAAGTGCGTTGAGAGCCTTGGGGGCCATAAATAAAAATAAAACTAATTAATATGCCTCTTCTTTTTTCCTGTCCCCCTCTGCCACACGCACGTCAGATGTTGTCTCTGTAGTGCAAAGAGAAGAGTTGTATAAATACACAAAAAAGTTGGTATGTTTTTATTAAACTGCATTTTGCTGTTTGCAGACATAATAGATAAGGAGGGATCTCAAATATATCCAGAGGGGATGGGGGGGGAGGTAATTTTTTGCTGCAAATCTGGATAATGATTAGGAATTGAACATTACAGAGAGTAATTTGGGCTTGTGCCCTCGCAGCCTCACGTGAAAACTGTGTGCTCCAACCTGCCAGAGTCTAATGTTGTAGGAGTTGTTAATTGTGTCAATCCTTTTTGGATATAGATGTTTTCCTGAGCAGACCAACAGTACAATAAGCCAGTAAATCTAAGTTTGACCTGCTTGTTACTATTGTGTGCCTTGGGTATGTCAAAGGCTTTTCACCAAGTCAGGGTTATTAATCAAACCTGACACTCCAGTATTGATCAGGCCTCAAATGGTTGGGTTGCATGCCACCCTGTTTATATATTGCTGTTTAATTTGCAGCCACCTTGCGTGCACTCTATCTAAGTGACAACGATTTTGAAATCCTGCCACCAGATATTGGGAAGCTCACAAAGTTGCAGATAGTAAGTAATTTATCTAAATTCTTGAAAAAAATCAATTCACTTTTGCGGCCCTGGTAGGAGTAGAATCAAGTCAATTTGCGCAAAGTAGTGAGGGGAGGGTTTGAAGAAATTAGCCTCTATGCCTGGCATTGCCTATTGTTAATCAGCAGGTACTTGTAAGTAAATTGGAGGAATAAAATAGGTGGGGTGAGAGGAAGTGGCAGAAAGCTAAAGGTCTTTATGAGACTGCTTTGTAAGATATTTGTCTATGATGTGTTCAGCCTCCCCAAATGTCTGCTTCCTTTCAACTGTGTGTCTGTCTCGCCCACTGTCTTCTGAAAGCTTAGCCTTCGGGATAATGACTTGATATCACTGCCTAAAGAAATTGGTGAACTCACTCAGCTTAAAGAACTTCATATCCAAGGGAACCGACTTACTGTGCTGCCTCCGGAGCTAGGTAAGGCTTGGTAGATTTTGTGGTTGAAGATGGCTAAGGGGAGATAGAACTCTTGACTTGTTCTCACTGATAACCTAAGCTTGGCCATTAATGTCTCTTTTGAAAAAAAGCTAAACCATTTCTGCTTTTGTCGTAATATGATGATTTTGTGCTATACTATATGTTAGTATACAGGGGTTATTACCTAATTACCTATACCTAAGGAATAAAAGGAAATTGCTGTACGTAATCTATCCATAACTGGTTGATCCTCAATGGAGCTTGGCTGTTAGCACACTGGGTTAGAGTGAAGTATGGCTGGAAGTAGGCAATCAAGTTCCTCAGATGTCTTATGCATTGTATCTCCAAAATGCAATTCATGAGGTGGTGTTTAGGACACAGGGGTCACAGTTTTATAAGGTTTTGGTCCTTGTTCTGGATTTAAAGGCTTATATGTAGTGCGACAGTGAGAGAGAATCATGAATCACTGCAAGAGCACAGTTGCATTCAACTACATACAAGTGCCAAGAAACACTACATTTGTCAGGGAATGTACACTGAGGACTTACCAATGGAAGTATTGTTTTAGAAGGAAACCTGGTTTGGAAAAAGAAATCTGTATTACAAAAAGCAAAGCAACAGATGTAATTGGCAAGATTACTGTGGTGTAGTTGTCAGAGTATTGGACTGGGATAGGCTTCCCAAGTCCCCCCGGGGGGTGGGGAAACCCCCGCCCCAGAAGCCCGTTCCCTGCCACCGGCGGATCGGGCCCCAGGGGGAACCCCACCCCGGCGTGCGCGTTACCTGGAAGTGACGTTATGACACTGGGCTCGCTGGGGGCGGGGCCACTGTCATCCAAGGGAAAACTCTATGGTTTTCCCTCGGATGGTCGTGGCCCCACCCCCAGCGTACCCGGCGTCATAACGTCACTTCCTGGTGACGTGCGTGTGGCGTGCGCACGCTCCAGCCGCAGACCAGAAGTCCCCCGGTAAGTACATTTTTCGACTTGGCAACCCTGGACTGGGATCTGGGAGACCCAGGTTTGAATCCAGTAACACACATTCAGCCTAACCTGCCTCACAGGGTTGTTGTGAAGATGAAACGAGGGATCTTGACAGGCTGGGCTAAAAGTAACTGGGCTGAAAGAAACAAAGTGAATTTCAACAGAGATAAGTGTAAAGTTCTGCATTTAGGTAAGAAAAAAACGAATGCATAATTATAACCTGAGGGAGACTTATCTTGGTAGTAGCACATGCAAAAAGGATTTAAAGGCCTTAGTAGATCATACACTGAACATGCATCAGCAGTGTGATGTGGTAGCTAAAAAGATAGATGTGATTTTGAGCTGCATCAACAGAGCTACAGTGTCCAGATCAATCAAAGTGAAAGTATCACTTTACTTTGCTCTGACTAGACCTCACCAGGGTACTGAATTCCGTTTGGAGCACCACCATTTAAGAAGGATGTTGATAAGCTGGAAGGTGTCCAGTGGAGGGTGACAAAGATGGTCAGGGGTCTGGTGACCAAGTCCTATAAAGAAATGTTGAAAGAGCTGGGCATGTTTATCTTGGAGAGGAGACGATTGAGAGGTGATATGATAGCCATCTTCAAGTATGTGAAAGGTTGTCATGTAGAGGATGGAGCAGAGTTGTTTACTTTGGCCCAGAAGCTCAGTCCAAAACCAACAGGTTGAATTATAAATCAAAAGAGTTTTCAGCTAAACATTAGAAAGAACTTCCTGACACAGTAGTTCCTCAGTAGAACAGGCTTCCTTGGGAGATGGTGGGCTCTCCTTTGGAGGTTTTTAAGCAGAGGATAGATGGCCATCTGACAGCAGTGCTGATTTTATGACCCACTGTCAATTTATGCAGATCTTGAGAGGGATGGTAGGAAGGGATGAGCCAGCACTTGGCTCTCGTGGCCCTTTCTTATATGCCCAGGGTATTGCTGATTGCCCCTTTGGCGTCAGGAAGGAATTTTCCAGCAGGCCAGATTGGCCAAGGGATTCTGGAGTTTTGTGGGGGGGAGTTGCCTCCTTCTGGGCATAGAGCAGGAGTCCCTGGGGAAGTGGGGGAGCAGGTAGCTGTGAATTTCGCTTTGCATCCCTATTGGAAGAAATGAAGGGTATAAATGAAGTACATAAAATATCCTGAAGTTTATTGTTTGGTCTCCCTGTGTGTTTAATGCTCTTTTAAAATATCTCTGTCATGGCAAAGTGCAGTCTCTCTTCATTATTACATCAATCATGCTGGACTTATTCATGATTATTTACCACTATACAGCTTCTAATATGTCCTAACATATTAGTAGCCGTATAGTGGTAACTAATCATGGATAAATCCAGCATCATTGATGCAGCCATGAAGAAATTGCACTTTGCAGATGTTCAGCGACACCAGTGCTCTCTGAGTATTATTGATGAGAATAGGGATGGTAGAAACCAAGAGGGAGAAGGTAAGAAGGGGAATTAAGATAACAAGGAAGAGAGACTTCATCTTTCTGTTCAGATGCACGTATCACTTACTTTTTATTAGTCATGTGACTGTGATATGTCAGGGTGTATTCCCAGTATATAGAAACAAAGCAAGGGGGTACTTAGGGCAGCTAAAGTAAGCGGTACTAATGCAAGCAAACCATTGTTGTAAAACTAGAATGCAGATTATGCTTTGAACTGTTGACGGGGTGTGTGTGCTTCTTTTTTTTAAAAAACCCACAATCTCAGTTCTCACTTTAATTATGTGACTTCAAATCCACTATGAAGCTTCTATAGCTAGCCTTCTCTCTCTCATTTTCTCTCTCTCTCCCTCCCTCCCTCCCTCCCTCCTCCCCCAATAGCAAAGACATAAACATTTCCTAGAAATGCTAAGTTACAGTAAGCAAGTTACAGCCTGTTTCATCCCTACAGTCTCTAAGGTGTCTTTATTTAGCCCATAAGAGCTTCTTTGGAACCCATAAATCTCACATTTCACTTCTAAAAGGGGCATTTTTAGGCTTCATGGCTGCAATAAGTTTGAAAAGGGAGTGGGCAGGTTTCTACATGTTAGACACAATACATTAAATCAGATATACTCATTCATTCAGTTTTTGTTAACTGTATTTTGCATCAGTATTGTACTCTTTCAAAGGTCGTTATTTCAGACCTAGGAACCTGTTAAGCATGTTGCTCCTACTGCAAGATCCAAGCGTAACACGTCTACCAAGAGTAGATGAAATCCACCATACTGATGGTGGTTTTTTTTCAGTCATGCGATTTCAGCATGATGATTGGATGTGCTCCCTTCTGTGATGCTTTTCCAGTGAACCTCTCAGGGGGGACCTTTACGTTACCATTCTCGCAATATGTGTTCAGGTGCACCATTCTCTTTTTTGCCCCAACTTTCAGTTCAATACATTTTACAAGTAGATTGACTGTAAAGCCCAGCAGAAAGTAATATTCGCTATTTAAAGTTGATGATGAGGAAACTGAAATTATTCCTTAGCTCTGTCATGAACCAAAAGGGAAACTGCAACCAAGAAACCGGAAGGAGATCGAGACTGGGAAGGGCAGCCATGAAGGAGCTAGAAAAGATTCTTCTTAAGTGTAAGGATGTGTCATTGGTGACCACAATCAAGATGATTCATACTATTCATAATCCCGATTACTGTGTATGGGTGTGAAAGTTGGACAATGGAAAAAAATTGATTCATTTGAAGTGTGTGGTGTTGGAGGAGGGTTTTAGGAATACTGTGGACTGCCAAAAAGACAAATAAGTGGGTTCTAGATCAGATCAAGCCTGAACTCTCCCTAGAAGTTAAAATGACTCAACTGAGGCTATTGTACTTTGGTTACATTATGAGAAGACAAGAGTTACTGGAAAAGACAATAATGCTAGGAAAAGTTGAAAGCAGCAGGAAAAGAGGAAGACCCAACATGAGATGGATTGACTATAAAGTAGGGGTGTCAAACATGTGGCCCGGGGGCCGGATTAGGCCCCGGAGGGCTTCTATCAGGCCCACAGTGGAACTGGCTTTCTTCTGCTTCTTCTTCCAGTTCTGCTGCTACTGCATCATTGTAGGTTTGCAGTTTACAGATACACACCTGACCTTTCTGTTTGTGTCCTTTATAAAGTTTATATCTCTACTACCCGGCCTTACGTTTTATGGCACACATGGCTCGGCCCAACAAGGTCTCATTTATGTCCGATCCGGCCCTCATAACAAATGAGTTCGACACCCCTGCTATAAAGGAAGTCATGGCCCTCAGTTTGTAAAAGCTGAACAAGACAGTTAACGATAGGATGTTTTGGAGGTCATTAATTCATAGAGTCACCTTAAGCAGAAGCGACTTGATCAGACTTAACACACACATCTTCTAACTGTGTTTAGGAGGAGGGGCTGTGGCTGAGTTGCAGAGCATCTGCTTTGCATGCAGAAGTTCCAGATTCAACTCCCTGCATCTCCAGTTAAAAAGATGATGTAGTAGGTGATGTCAAAAACTTCCACCTGAGACCTTGGAGAGCCACTGCCAGCCAGAGTAGACAGTAATGACCTTGTGTTCAGGTGTGAACATCATTAGTAGAGATTTTTATTTATTTGTTGTATTAAAATACTTGTACCCAACTGCCCCACCACTGAAGGACCCCAAGGTGATTTGCAACACATAATATGGTTACTGAGACAACATCAGGTCTCGGTTCCTGCCGGAGCGCACTGGAGCACCGCTCCGCCAGTCAGGAGCCCAGGGGGCAGGCACATAAGCCCCGCCCCCTGCTCCCACCAGCCATCAGTTGGGACACGGTGGGGGGGTGAAACGTTCCCCCGCCTCCCCGAGCCCCAGGGTGGTGGCCTTGGACTCGTAGGTGCAAATTACACCTCTCGCGCAAGAGGTCATTCTGGCTCCCCCAGCTCTCCTTCGGGGCTCTTTAAAAAGTTATGGCCACCGCCGCTGTTCTCGGCGGCAGCTGCGACGCCTGTATAGGGGGGGCGAAACGTTCTCCTGCATCCCTGAGCCCTGGGGTGGTGGCCTTGGACTCATAGGGACA